GTGAGCTGCGGTCAATGTGAATAGAGAGTGCTATAGATCGATTTTGACGAATCTTCTATAGCCTAAATTCGACGTTATTCATTTATATAACAAGACGTCAAGTAATCAGTCAGTAATTTTAAAAACCTTCGATATTGAACGACTCTGAGGTTACGTCTTGCGCTGTTATTTGAATATTTGATGTGCTGCTGATGAGGTCAGGACAGATTTAGAGAACGTAATTCTTGAAAAGTACGTTCATTTGATAATTGAATTGAATAATTATTGTATTTAGTAGCGAATTGCGTCAAAATAATTTTGGTTTTCCTTCAATTTTATTAGTGTTTGAGTTTAAAAAGATTGAAAACACGTCGCATACGTATTTCATTTTATTTTGTATACAACTTGTTTGTTCTTTTTTCTTTTTTTTTTTTGTTTATTACCTTTTCTTTATTTTAGTAAATAAATTTTTGTGTAAATATTGAACATTTAGCCTTTTATTATATTGTTATTGTGAAAACCATCATCGTTGTTTTCTCTTCTCTTCTCGTCACTCTATTTTTGTTTTTGTTTTTGCTGTTGTTGTTTATATCATTTAATGTGTGTACACATCATATATATACATATATATATATATATATACATGTTTTTCTCTTGCTATACTATCATCAGTGTATGCATACGTGCGTACACTATACAGTGCACAGCTGTGCATTGAACCCTAAAATAATCACAAAACATAACAATAACAATTACACTGCACATCCACATGACATAATATTTTATTTTATGTACGTCGTTGATTTTAGTTTGTTTTCCATTCGTCCTTACCATCAAAAAACGAGAGTGTACTAAGTTTGGCATACGACCTGCTACAGCAAAGCAAAGGCTTCAAACAATTTTAATCCCTACCTTTCGGTTTCGGTTTAAAAAAACTGTAAAAAATTAAATTTTTTTTTTTTTTATTGTTAATTTCCGCTTGAAAAGTTTTATCAACAAGTGATTTTATGGATAACATGATAAATAAATAATTTTTTTTTTTAAGATTTCTTCACGCATAGATTTTAAATCGTTTATTGGCCTTTAGCTTAGCTGCATAATGTATTATATAGTTAATGTTAAAAATTTTGATTAAATATTAACAAAATCGATATAGTTTGCAGAGCTAAGTAAAACTCTAGAATAAAAAAAAAGAGTAATTAGAGTTCAGGGGCTTGACAATCCTAAACATGGCGAGCATTACTTGTTTTGAAACTAGTGCTGTGTGATTTGGATCATTTCGCTTCCCTTATATTGCACGTTACATTGTGGCCTTACTTTCTAGGGCTATGCTGGTTTTAATGATGATCGAAATTTATTCAAAGAGCTACAAAACTTCAACATTTCCCCTCTCCCTACTTAGCTTTGCCAACTGAATGCGCGAGAATGGTACAAAAGTCGAAGTGTGTAAGAAGAACAAGCGTCTTCGTAGAAGAGATAACCGCGCTGTCTTTGGGGCATCTTTGCAAAAAGTGAGACCGACCAACCGATCAACCATGCAAAACAAAAACTTGGAGATTTGTAGAGAAGAGAGACTATTGAATATATATCTTCATTTGCTTTTCTTCATATCTTCATTGAAATCTCAAATTAAACAAACTCAGAATTGCGGTTCAAAGTTTATCTAGATATATAGTATCTATAAACTGTAGCTGGATGTTTATGTAAATGTGGAAAACCTGTTTATCTGTTTCCTTCCAAGTCCAATTAAATACGAATACGCTTTTGGTGTAGCAAGGTGATGCCTCCTTTAGTTTACTCAATATTCAATTTTTCAACTTTTACATAACTCATAAAATTACTGCACTGCATAGTGTACGTTAAGTTATATAAGCCAAGCGAATTTATGCAGTTTCACTTGCAAAAATAAACAAGAGCGTGGGAAGTGCTTAAAAAGTTATTGCATTAAGAATCGTTAGTCAAATCATGTTAGTATGAATTGATTTCATATTAATAGCAGATTATTTAAAAAATCGTTTTTGTGTTTTTTTAATTGTCAAAAAAAAAAAAAAAAAAAACTTCCTTCAAGTAAATGCAAAATGGTTTTATTACACAATTTCCTTTTCTCCAAAGCAAAATTTTGCGCCTTTGAGGAGTAAATCAACGATTTTGGATTCGAACTATTGGCTCGTGAATGGCATATGGATGACTTGATTCTATTTTAACGAAGTGAGCATTGCTCAGCAGTATTTCTGCTTGTACTTCACCATTTATATTGTTTTTGTAAGCTTTTTAGTTTTTCACTTTCAAACTAATAAAGGTTTTTTTTTTTTTTTTTCATATTTCAAGACAAAGCTTTCGCATCTGCCGCGATATAAGATTAAATATGAGAAGTATTCGCCTATACGAGACTTGTGCAGATGATTTAATGAAGATTATGAATGAATTTGTGAAACGTATGTTACCTAATCGATAGCTTTATTGATAGTTGTCAAGCGTGGGTGTCGCTGTTATTTATTATTTATCTTCCCTTGGCATACAGGTAAAATTAACCTCAATCTTATACATATATTCTTATTATGTGTCATAATCGCATGTTGGCAGCTGCTATTACATAAGTAAGTAAAAAAAAAAAATGAAATTCTTAAATTAACTTTTTTAGGTATAATGTTGGCTCTGATCTTTTTAATTAGCTGTTATGCAATAGAGCGAATTAATTTGATATTCTATTATAATAACTCAGTAATCGCGTCTAATACAAATATAATCCTAAAATTTGTTTACTATTTTTTTTATTTACTTTCTAGTTATGTGCTAGTGTATGAGTTTTATGTGTAAAAATTTAAAGTTTTACTAAATAACCTTCATTAAGATGCTAATCATTTGTAAATGTTTCTTAGAAACGAATAAGAAAGCTTTTAATTTCATAACGTTGTGCCATGATTGCCTTACACAGTAAACTGAACTATGTACGAAAAATAAAAAAATGATGTTATATTATTTGTTGTAATTTTATATTATACATAAAGAGGATTATGAAACAGACTTGCTTGCTGCTCTAATGCAAAAACCTCCTACTTAAGGACGATCGACGTTCCGGCTAAACAAATGAAATTTGATGATTGTGATCATCAAATTACAAGCAGCATTGTTGTATCTGGTTAAAGATATCGCATGCGAGAATTGATAATCACTTACAAGGCCTTAAGTAGCTAAGAATTTTGTTTCCGATTTTAATTGGTTGCGACAGAATGAGTCGAATCCCCTGAAGCCAATGAATCTATTAATTGTGGTACTACTCCTCAGAAACTTCAGGGATTAATGCTGTCTTCTTTCAAGCCGCTTACAGAAAGCTGTGTGTTATTAGGTTCGTTATAAATCAATTGGATCAGTGCAAGCTGGAAATGTTTAAGTAAAACACAGACACACAACGTACACTGGAAAATATGAAAGGATTGCGTTAAAACCTTTCTGTAATAATCATAATAATGATCGGAATTCGCTTTTGCTTTAATTTTTTTTTTCAATTTCTCTTAACGTATAAGTAACTGGATACAGGAAACGTGTTCATTGAAAATCTCTTCATTACATTATTACATAAGAAAACATAAGATCCATTGCAAAATTCGTAACATAGATAAGCACTTACTTACTGTCCATCTGTCCATCTATCTATTTGTCCATATAACTTTCACCGAACGATTGGAATATTTGGAAACGTAATATATGTTTAGTGGATGCTATTTTAACGAATTTCTATAATTTCAGTTTGGCAATGAAAACAATTTCGCTAAAAGAGCGACTTGAGCATAAGAACTACGAGGTGCATATATATTAAAATATATCTGAAATTATCTAAGATACGACAGATGCACATTTAAAATGAGCGAATAATTTGTTTAGAGAAATTATAATTTGATATTTATGGTCTTGGCCACCCTATTGACTCGTAACTAGTCTTGGCTTATAGACGTAAATAAATAATCGTAAATTTTTTTTGTGGGTAATATATGTGACTTAGATCAGACTACAAATATCCTTATAATCAACAAAGCCAAAAAAAAAAAAAGAAGAAGGAAACAAGATGAAGAAAAACAGAAACCAAGTAATTTTCATATATTTTTGCTCGAGGTAATGATTAAAAATTCCTTTGCTCTTTATTTTTAGATTCTAGCGCGGGCTTATGATTATAAGACTATAGAGGTAAATAAGTCTGTTGGTTGTGTATTTTTTCTGATTTTATAGCCAATGTACATAAAATTGTTTTTAAGTATATTCGAGTGTTGACCGTACATACATGCGCGCACAGGCACATATATGCTCCCTTGAATAACATACATCCATATGCATTCATGTGTATCCTTCTGATTGTTTCTGTTTCATGGAAGAATAAGTGTATACAAAATGAATGTCTTTGTATGTAGGCAAGTGTGTTTGTATCTGAGCCTGCATTTGTATGTTTTTTTTTTTTTTTGTTTTCCTCGCAGACCAAGTGTGTGTAAAATGTGTAATTTCGTGAGTGTGCTCTCGTTGTGTTTGTATGAATGCGTGTGAGTATATGGTTAAGAGTGTGCATATTTTTGTATACTTGTATTTATGTATGTGTGCAATGCTTTAATTAAAAACAATTCACTAGAACAAAAACTACTTTTTTATTATATATCAAGTTGATATAAGTAACAATAACAACACAGCAATAACGAGCACTATCAAAACACAATAGCCAGAAAACTAACATTTACCAAAAAGAAAATATATATATATAAAAAAAAAAAAAAAAAAAAAAAATTATATATATATATATATATATATATATATATATGTATAAATAGAGAAAGAGACACAAAAGTGTTTGCCTTTTTTTTCAAAATCTGAATATAGCAGAAAAATGCTAAGAACTGTATGTGTAAATGTATGCATCTGTATATGCATGTATGTGTATTTATGTGTGTGTATGTATGTGTGTAAGTATGTATGTATGTATGTGTACGTGTGCATCTTTATGTATGTATTTGTGTATATATGTGTGCGTGTTTACTTACCCTTACTGGAACCATCCGGGCCACGTAGTATAGTGCACTCCTCTATTGCGCCAAAGGGATTAAAAATTTGTCTGACATCCTCTTCGGTTTGTTGTTTGCTTAGCATGCCAACGAATAGTTTGCGTTCTCTCTCTGATGAATATGACGACGACGGCATTGTTGGAGCCAGGAATGTAAAGGAATAGGCGGAGCAGCAAGGAGATTATTATAGGAGCGTAAGGCGAATTTAGAGAAACACAGTACAGTACAAGTTTATAGAACGAGTAAATATAGTTTTTTTTTTTTTTTAATTCCAAAAAAAGAAGAAATTAAGAGAAAAAAATAAAGAAACCAAAACGCAACAGCATTACACAAAAAGGGAAACAAAAAAAAAAAAAAAAAAAAAATAATAATAAAATAAAATAAAAACGAAAAAAATGAATAAAGATAAAAATGAAAATTTTAATTAAACGAAATTTGGGAAAGAGCGTTAATTTAGAAAATTTTCAAAATAAATATAATTTATTTAATTTTTTATTTATGGAAATTAATTGGAAAAGTCAGCCCGCATATTAAATGAAAAGGGGAGAAGATCAAAACACAGTTTTATTTGATTTGATTTATTTATATATTTATTTATATAGTTATTTATTTATTTATTTATTTTATTTATTTTTTTTTTTGATTTAATATTTGAAATATTTCAAGTGAGGATTTGTTTTTGTTTAGGTTGTTGCATTTCCATTTAAAAATATAATATGGAGAGGAATTCGGTACAACAACAACAAATACATTTTATTAATAATTATAATAATAATAAAACGTTTATATTACAACATTTAAAAAATATTCAATTTTTTAATCATTTTTTATTTTCATTATTTTTATTAAATTTTTTTTTTTTTTTTGCAATAAAACAGCAAAATTGTAACACAGCAACAACAACAGTAATAAAAAATATTAGTTAAAAAATTGTAATTTATTTAAAAAACCCCGTGGCGAGCATAATTAAAAAAGAAGAGAAAATAATTGATAAATAAATAAATACAATAACAATAAAAAGATAATTTAATAATTATATATTTATATATATATATATATATATATATATATATAATTTTTTTTTTTTTTAATTAAATAAGAGCAAGAATTAGTCGTTCGTTTTAAGGCCAATTGTATTAAATTTTTAGTAGAATTAGTTTCGGGTTTGAATTTATTTATTTTTTTGTTTTTTGGTAGAGCACATAAAAATGAAAAGAAAAGAAGAAGAAAAAGATAAAACATATTAATTTAGTATAAAAATTTTGAAAATATTTTTTTTTATTTTTTGGTTTTTTATTTCATTTTCGTTTTTTTATAAATAAATGTGTATACTATTTGTAGCTTTCAATAAAATTTGATTAAAAGAACACACTTAAACACACTTACGAAAAAAAAAAAAAAAAAAAAACGAATACATACTAAGACACACACTAAGAAATACATACATACACTTAAGAAAACCAAAATAACAAACATTGCACACGATGGAAACGAACATACAAAAAATTAATGCCAATAAAATTTTAATATGAATGTTTGTTTCTTCCTCATTTCATAATTTTTCATATTCGGTAGAAAAGTTTGGTAAGAGCATTGATGCAAGCTTCAAGCTTATCCTTAATCTAAACCTTTTCATTCAAAAATTAAAGCAACCAACAAATCGATCACCTTTTAAAGCGACTATAGATCGGACCTCCTATATTTTTAAAAATAACCGATAATCTACACTATATATATATATATATATATGTATATATGTATATATGTATATATGTATATATATTCGATTTTCTTGGGGACAGAGAATTGACGCATATTTCACGTCCTGCTTGTCATGTCCACCATGGTGGGTCTACATGGGTCGCTATTTATATTTCGAGCACAATAACGGAAGAAAAACACGAGTAATTTTTCTTTAAAAAATTGCTTTATTGATTTTCAAACTGTTCTCCTTCGTCATCTACACAAATTTGTCGTAACATTTTTCCCTTTCCGCTTTCCGCTTGAGAAACTTTAAAATGATGGTTTTTGAACCCATCGACGGCTTCTTTTGGTAGAGCAACACAATTCATCCTTACAAAAGGAAGTCTTTGGATGCCAAATGCGAAGCGTGTGGCAGATCATCAACTGATTCGATGTTTTTTTTTTTTTTGTTTTGATGTTTAAATAGTCGGTTGTTGGAAGAGATGTTTAAGAGCTCGCCTTATCAAGATGAGCAATCTGATCCCACGTTGATGATTTTTTTTTCCTCTTTTATTTCATGAAAAACCTCCGGCAAACAAATGTTCGTTTGTCTAAAGCGCCAACTGCTTGCTAGGATCGCGAACAAATTTTTTAGATTTATGATTCGTCATCCGTTATGATCGTATCGAGTACCGCGCCCAACAAGTCTGAACAAATATTCAAGTTAAATTGCACGGGTAGTTCGAATATCAGAAATATTTTCTGTTTTCGTTTTAAATTGGCAACCCTGCGATACACATCTGCGTCATTAGTGTTTCCGTTGCTTTTGGTTATGTACACAGAAAGTATTTTTCCCGTTTCTTACAATGCGTCATTTTGTTGAGCAAAGTAGTGGCATTAAATTTTCTTTGCGAAATGCAATCAGATGAGACAAAGATCTACGCATATGATCTGGAAATAACTGAACGATTGCCAACATCGAAAATGCCGCGTCAGTGTCGCTCAAAAGTTAAGATGACGCCAACAGTTTTTTTCGATTATCGTGGTGTTGTGCACAATGAATTCCTTCCACTAACTGAAAGGAATATTATTTGAGTGTTATGCGTCATTTGGTTGCCTCCTATCCGCAACAAGAGGTCGGAATTGATTTAAAAACGAAAACAATGTTAGCTGGTCTCTCTTTTTGAACACAGTCGCATTCTACGTTGTATGCAGCATCGCGATACGAGCATCGTTTTAAGATTTTGCCAAATTATATGGGATTCAAAGAAAAAAGCCTTTCGCTCAGTTAAACGATCAAACCCTTCTTCTTATATTTGTTATGTTGGTGGAACTTGTAGCCAGCCAAGGTTGACTCAGTCTTATGATATGTGACATTTCGACCTTTCGGTATCATTTGTTGGTCGGTGTTACTATTTTCTGACATAGCATTCGTTTTGGAAGGCCCTGCATGACTTTCATCCGGAGCGAGCGGCGGCGACGGGTAAGTTCGTTATACTAGCTTTTCATAGTTGTAAAGGTTAAGGCCTTAGTATCAGAATTTGAACAACATGATCAATGCACCTTTGTTTGTGTTCACAACAAGTGTCAAAAGTTAGAATATCTTATTAAACGAACATCTTGACGAGGTAATCGCATTTGTTCATTGAGGCACAATTTTCAAATCACTCTAAGCAACATAAAATGTTCAACTTTCTAGTCGAAAGATTAAATGCCATCGATAAGCATTCGACAATGACTTTCGTATTAGATTTACCAACCATATGCAACTGTATGCAGATATCCAAGATAGATTATATATGTATATTCTTGCTTACTATGAATATTGGCAACGATCTAAACTATCCATCCGGGTGTCTACTTATCCGTCCGTCTTTTGAAATCAAACAAATCAAACGAAAATACTTGCGTATTTATAATTATGTGTTGACTTCTTGTTAATGGTATATTAGACGAAGACTTCGATTCTTTTCAATTATACGAAGTGTTTATAGCAATTTTTGCTTCCCCTAAGTATATGAAATATTAATAATAATTGGTTTCAGCTTTGATTTCCTCACTCTACAATAAAATAAATCTATAAAAGAATAAAACAAATCGAATAAAAAAAAACCGTATAACATGTGGAAAAATTTGATAAACAATTATGAACGTCCCTCATCGACTTTTGTTCTCCATAACGTAACTTTCGTTGGCGGTATGAAAACTGAATTCCAATTTTTCAATGTGTGTGTACTGAGAAAGAGAAATATTTTGAATGCTGCTTAATTTATATGTTGCAGCCGTTCTCAAAATTTCTCAAATATTTTCTTCGTTCTCCGTACTTTCTCTATCTTTCGCAGTTACAAAAATTGAGTTTGAACACTATAATGGGACCCAGTCTACTTTACATCACTTCACTTGATACAAATATTCCTACAACGACTTTTCAAAATATTATGAGAATTATATGAGAAATGGCCAAAAAATTTATCCGATCCGAACCATTTCCAATAGCGTTAGTAGCTGACTTGAAATGATTTCATCAGAATATCTAGAAAACTGTGAACTATAGGCATTGAAGGCAAAAAAAAGTCGGGGATATACAGACGGACGGACAAGCTTAGATTGATTCATAATATGATTGTGAATGAATGATGAATGATTCTGTCTGAGTCAGAGATGCATTTCTCGATCAGCATAGCTCCTCTGAAACTTATTCGCATTAAATATTACACAATTAATATCCCTTTTTCCCTTCTCCTCTCCATGCTACTTGGGGTTTTTTGTTTTTTTATTAAGTCTTAATACTCGAAGAAGTTACTTTGTCGTTGTCATTATATTTAAAGTTGATAGCCCTGGATTTGTTTATAATTTCTTGGGGAGATTTTTTTACAGATATAAAGTTATCTTAAAATGGCATTCATATTTTCGGACAAGTGATAAGATTATTTTCTTTTTCAAAAATTCAATGTTCTAAAAGAACGGTATTGAAAAGTAATTAGCGTAAAATATTAAACATTCATTTATCGTTTGCTATACATCGAAGCAACTTTACGAGTGCCAAACAAGAAATAATAAAATTCTAACCAACACACTGCCCTTCCATAAATTGAGTGTAGTCTCTCTCGCAATTGTGAAAAAATGTATGAAAAAATAAGTTTTCATATGAATCAGTAAAATTTCTTGAGACAAACAATTGCTCCCACATGGCAATCTGTCTGCAAAAATGTTTATGACGGCAATACCGATAAAGCTTTAACTTTTTATAGATTGTAAAAACTGAGAGAGTTGTTAAGTTTTTTTTTTTTTTGTTTGTTCCAAATGATAATGTAGTCCTTTCAAATGCCTATTAAGGCGCATAAAAGATGTATAAGTTAGAGTTTTACACCTGGTAAATAGTGGCAAAGAAATCTCATTTTGTTTTAGGTTAAAGCAGTAACATAACA